CCTTGTTATTTTTTGCGATATTCGGGAACTGCAACAATGCGTCGAGATGCGTCTCGATAATTAACATCTGATTATCGTATGTATTCTTCAGAAGTGTCCAGGCGTTTTCGTAGTTCTTATCCGATATGCTGAATCCTTGAACCACCTGGAGCGCCTCTCCCTTTAGGATGCCAACTAAGTACTGGTGTTTCTGCATCGGCGATAAATCCTTATCGCTGTGTATCGTCGTTTCGAAGCTGTTCTTAAAGAACATCCATTTTGTGTAATCGCCGCTGAATTCGGGCAATTTGTTTTCGGGCAACTTCGGCTTTGTCCTCCGTTGTCCCTCGTCCGTTGGTTCCGGTGCGCTGTGTTGACTTGCTGCTTGTTGTGCAGCAACCTGCTGTTTCGCCGCGACCTGCTGTTTCGTAGCCTGCTGATCGATGATATTTTGCGCTGTTGCCGCAGCCTTGTAGTAACAGCTTTCGAACAGATTTCGTTCCGCTTCGCCTTCCGCCTGTATCGCATCTGCTTGCTCGTCCGTCTGTGCTGGCCGAGCATCTATCTCGCCTTGAACTTCCTCGAATTTACCCCATAATTCTTCGAGCCTTCGTAAGCGGACTCGTGCGTCTGCCGCGCTCTTCACGTCCGCCGAATCAAAATACAACTGTATTCTTGTGACTTGCCCCTTTACGTAGGCACGCTTTTGCTTTAGCTTTCTCATATCCGAATCCGACTTCGACATCTCGGATTCAGTGATCTGGAACGTACTTTGATTAGAAAGCGATAGGAGACTGACTCACCTTCCTTGCTTCGATGCCCACGCTGTGTCGATCCGCCGCGTTGAGGTTATGGAAGTTTTGCCTTGTTTCTCGCCACGGCGAGTATGCAAGTTCCGTTCCTTGAATTGCCAATGTGGTATATCACCAAACTTGCGTAGTGATATAATGCTTACGCGTGAGCCTGCTTCGCCGCGTTGTATATGCGTGTGACGCTTTGTTTCGCGCGTCCTATCTTGCTGCGTGTCCGACGTCCTTCGGACTGCGGATGCTGTACGCGTGAGCCTGCCTCGCCGCGTTGTATAT